AGCTCGTGATAAAAAAGATAATAGTCCAAACAAAAAAGGTCAAAGTACATCAGGTATATCTAAATCAAAGCAAATTCTGCTGGTTGAAATATAGCATTTCCAGCAAAACGATAGTTAGCAAAGCGCTGATAGCAAAAGTACATCAACTATGAGAACATGAAAGAACTGGAGAATAAAAAGTACGACTTCTTAGGCGCAAAGGCCTAGGATTTAGCTGCTGGCTTTTTCGCGATCCGAGTCTCCAAGAATTCAGCATAGGCATCATCTTGAAAGGCGTTTTTCATGACGAAGGGTTGCTGGCTCATTAGCTGGCGGTATTTTAATATGTTAGGCCACTGAGAATCGAGCGTCTTCAGGCTGTCACCGGCAGCGCCGCTATCTACCTTGAGCAGTCGACCCATCATCAGGTCCCAGGCATTCAGGAATGGAAAGAGAGCCAGGTCCGCCAGACTCAGTTTCTCACCTGCAAAACAACAAAAAAGGAGGAAAGATAAAATTGTAGTGTGGCACTCACTGATCGCCGTACGGACGCACGGTGGCCCTGTTGTGTTCCGGAACTCACTCTAAGGGCCCCGCCAACAGCCGCAAAGCGGCTAGCACCGCCGGCAGAATAACATTGCCAACAAAAACAAAGGAGCTTGGAATGGCCGCTTCTGGCTCACTAACCGTCCTCAGACAGTCATATCAAACTCAAAGCGGTGCTCCATCCGGGGCTCATATCCGCGACCTTGTTAGTTAGAAGTCCAACACTCTAAAAATTGACCCAAGGGCTCATTGGCTTTATCAGTTTACATCTAGAATATCGAAATTGGCGGATGAACGCTCAACGATTGAATACAGGACATGCTCGGCCTGTACTGACTTGGGGCCCATTCTAGAGGCCCATCAGTAGCCGTACATTGGCTTACTAGCCAATATTATAGATAGATGAACGTTGCAGACAAAGATAGAGGAAACGGTGGCAGCGGCAAAATACCGGCGAAACACAGTTCTGGGCCTTTTAGATAGTATGTGGGTTGTTAGTATGATAAGTTGCAACGTCAATATGTACTACTGCTGTCTGCCCGTTGGCAGCATGGGTTTATTACGCAGTGGTTGACGGAGTTCGGCCCAAATATACACAGAAAATTTCGGTCTAATCCTACAGACTTTTAATATACTGATGTATACCATTAACAGAAACTAATTTAAAATAAATTAAAAGGCTAAATTGTCCAAACCGATATATCAACCAGAAAGCAAACGGGGAAAGCTAGGGGACCCCTTGCAGCTGTGTCAAGCAGCAAGGGGTGTCAAAACACGTGTCTGGGCCTTTTAGCTAGTAGGTGGGCTATAAGTATGATACGTTACAACGTCAATACGACTACTACTATTACCACGAATAATGCTACTAGTACCACCACTACTACTGTTACTGCCGCTGAGGCTAATATTACTACTACTATCACGCCCACTAATATTACCAATGCTACGCCTAGTACTATCACATTTACTACTACTGCTATAACTACTTATAATATTAGTAATGCTACTACTGCTATTACTTTCATCACTACTACTACCACTGATAACACTAATAGTAGTGGTAGTAGTATTCGTCTTGGTAGTACAGTGGTACTAATAAAATTGGTAGTGGTAGTCGTTGTGGTAATAATATTATTAGTGGTAGTCTCGGTACTAGCAGTAATAGTAACCTGAGTAGTAGTATAGATTACAGCGACAGCAGCGGTATTAGTAGTAGTACTAGAAGTAATAGGAACATTAATAGTTGTAGTACTAGCCTTAGTAGTAGAAGTAGTATTTATTGCCGTAGTGGTAGTAGTAGTAGTAGTAGTAGTAGTAGTAGTAGTAGTAATAGTAGTTTTACTCACAGTAGTGACACTACTCGTAGTAGTAGCTTTAATAGCAGTAGTAGTAGTCATAGTAATAGCAGTGATTGTAGTGGTAGTATTAGTAGAAGTAGTAGTAACAGTAGTGGCGGTAATCATAGTAGTCAAGGTGATTTCTTGGCAGAAGACTTGCGCAGCAGCAAGTGGGTCGGGAAATAAATAACTAACAGCAGACGTACCCATGAGATAGGGACCCGTAAGGGCTTTTTCAATGTTTGATAGAGCAACCTTAAAGGCATCAGCATCGGCCTTTGTTGAGTCAGATGTGTAGCACAGTTTGTAGCGAAGATGAGCAATCTAACCAGGGTAAGGGAAGGGGGGATAAGAAAAAAAAGTAGTTTAGACGCACCTGAGAGTGTGAGGTACAAGGAGAATACAATGAAAATGCAATATAGCTATAATGAGTCATATACTGAAAGTGCTCGAAGAAGAGTGGTTGGTAGAGAGGCTGCAAAAGAAACCTAAAGATCAGTGCTTTTTGGATATTATGGATGCTTTGAGATAGAAGCAAATTTTGCGATATCCATATATAAGCAGCCTTAATTGGAAAAATAACTGAGAAGGTCCCAAAAATTACAGATTCCGTTACCGAACATACTAATTGTTATCTCCCGAGATAATAGGCAGAACGAAGGCAATGAGCTGGTTCTGGTGGCAAGAGTTTTATTCAGGAGAACAAAAAGACAACAACACAACAGCCTATTCATAAGGGCCTGGTCCTTCTGGAATAATCCTGGCTCATAGCATGCGAGGGGGGTTCTGGCGTGCACACTGATTCACGGTTTTCCACGCCGTGAGAAGTTTCTAGAACATTTTCACGGCACGTGTGCGCGAGCGTCACGTGCACGGCCGGCCTAAGGGGCGTGACTCAAATGATGTGCGCGTTTGGCCGTAGGGTTTGAGTGCATCCCCGCTCGTGTCCCCGTAAGATTAATAGTAGTGCTGTAGTAGTAGTAGTAGTAGTAGTAGTAGTAGTAGTAGTAGTAGTAGTAGTAAGTAGTAGTAGTAGTGGTACCATTAGTAATAGTAGCAGCGATATAAGTAAAGGAAGTAGCATTAATGGTAATAATACCAGTAGTAAACGTGATAGTAGTTGTAATAGCAATGGCAACGGTAATAGTGGGCGTGATAGTAGTATTAGTCTTAGCAGTAGAAGTGGCAGTAGTGGTGTTGTTCGTTTTAATAGTAGTATTCGTGGCAGCGGTAGTATTCATAGAAGTAGTAGTAGTAGCCTCAGTAGTATTGTGGTACTAGTAGTAGCCTTGGTAATAGTAATGATTGTAGTGGTAGTAGCGGTAGTAATGCTAGTAGTAATTTACCTAATAGTAATGTTAGCAGTAGTTAAGAAGAAGCAGACATTATCGCTAGGATAAGAATTTTAGTAACCTGACTGTTATAGCCGAGCTTTTCGAACCCGACTAAAAGGCAGAAGAAGCCAAGAGAGCGGTTCTGATAAGCAATGGTTTTACTAAAAAGCAGACAAAGACAGCGGGGCGTGCGGAGTCCTTTAGCATGTCCACTCCGGCATATTTATATGGCTCCGGTCTTTCCAGAATATTCCTAGTGCATAGTGTGCGAGCAGACATTCTAGACTCATCTCGACCACGATCACTGCCCTCGCCATGTGGGTGGCCGTCTCGTTTGCGCGGCTCACGGCGTGGGCGGCTGGTATGAGGGCGTGAAGTACTCCGGGCGGCTTGACTGTGGGCATGACTCAGCTGGTCTGTCCTTTTCGCCGACTGCCGTGAAGGCATAGGGAGTCCTGCCTCCATAAAACTGACGTTTCGAAATCCGTCGCGGCTGCATCCGCAAAGACAATAGCAGAAACGCGAATTTCATACACAGGGAGTTGCAGAATTTATGGGAGGCAGCCGCTATGACAATTAATGACTCCCCCTATCGATGATAGATGCCCGCCTGTGCGCTAATTGCTTGATAGTCGACATGCGAGTCGTAACCTGCTGATTTTTCATCATGCGTTTTGGAGATTGACTAAATGATTGCTTGACCATCCGGCTCCATGGCGCAGGCATTAGACGATGCGTTCGCCGAGGGGCTAATTGTTTTAGCCAAACTGGGCCTCAGGACCGAATATAGGTTGGACAGATCGTTGCACTTGTTTATAGACAGGGGGTCCAGGAACGATGAGTCAAGTAGCTCGCGACTCAGGCGAGTGTCATCTCTCGAGAGAATTTCAGCCTCATCGATTCTGAATGTGTAGCCGGATATCGTTGTACGAGCCGCGAATTGAGAACTGAAGTCATTTCTCCGCCAATTGTCTCTGGTGATGGATCCGCGACGGATCTCGAAAAGTCAGGCGCATAAAATGCTTGTCCCTGTGATCACGTCTGCTTCTTCTCGTTAGCTTCCTGGGACTCGCATTTTCGCTTGTATTGACAATTATTAGTAGTATTGGTAGTGGTAGTAGGGTGAATTTCAGCTTATTCCATCAAAAAACACTAAAGTAGATTGCATATCTGATGCAAGGTTGGC